AAAAAAAAAGAAAGAGGGAGACAGAGAGAAAGGAAGGAAGGAAAGAAGGAAGGGAGGGAGGAAAGAAGGAACTCATTCACTCTGTGTGGCTCTGGACTGCCCCTGCAGCGTCCCGGAGCACTGCGTCCCGGAGCACTGGCCCTGGCCGCCCCTGCACCACGGGGGTGGGTGCTGAGGCCCTGCTTCCTGCCTGAAACTGCATCCCACATGGCAGGGTGGTTCCCTGGGGCCCCCAGAGCCCGGGCTTCGTTCTGAGGGGCGGACTGGAGTGGACCTTGAGAAGGGAGCCCGGGTGCCAGGCCCACGTCTGTGAGGAGGACTGGGGTGACCCGGGCCGGAGGGGAGACGAGGCCGAGTGCCCAAAGCTGTGAGCCCCAGCCCTGCAGAGCTCCGCTGCTTCCCGCTCTGTGGGCTGCTCAAGCCGCCAGCCCACCGGGCCTCGGTTTCCTCAGCGGGGATCAGAAGCTTCCACACGCCCGGCACGGGGCCCAGCCCGCCCCCCTGCACTGGCACATGGACATCCTGTGTGGCGGGATGTTCTGGAACTGAGACGTCTGGGGTGTCCGCTGTGTGGGAGCGCACGTGGCCACAGAACGCCACCCCGGGGCGCCCCGATGTTGGGCTGTAGTTTCTTATGCATCCATTTAAATTAGCACTTACACACCAGGTGTGAGTGTGTTCACGTGAAAAGCTTGGCGCCCAGACGCTCCTGCCTCAGCCTCCGCCCATTCCCCCCAGGCCCACGCGGGACAGCGAGGACGAGGACGAGGAGGAGCGGCGGGGCCGCGGCTGTGCGCTGCAGTTCCAGCGCGCCACGGTGCGGGTCCTCGCGCAGTTCGTGGCCGAGGCGGCTGGGCGCTGGGCACAGCCAGGTCACCTGCTCGGCCCCGACTGGCAGTTCGACGTCACGAGCCTGGTGGCGGACTTCATGAAGCTGGAGGCACCGCACGTGGCCTCCCTGCAGGAGCGCGGCGTCCTGGCCGGGAGGGAGGTCGGGATGACGACCGTGCAGGTAGGGAGCCAGCCGCTCCTCTGCCCCACCGTTTATTCACTCAACAAACGCTCTTCACCGCTTATCTGTTACTAAAGAAACGGCTCAGATGGTGGGGTTTCGGGCACGTGGGGATGGCCTTCTCCTCAAGCCCAGTGCCTCCGGCTGATGTCCCCTCTCGACCCTTACACCGTGGACGTTTCAGGCCTGACCCCAGGCTCGCGAGGTGAGGCAGGAACAGAGTTTCCACAGAGGGACGTGCTGGTGGAGGGGGGCGTGGCCCACTTACACCTCGGTTCTCTGGTTAACTCCATAACTCCCTGAGAGTGTGACTCTGGCTGCACAGTCTATGTGCAACATCTCATGAATCCAGTCAGCATGTTCACCATGTACGGTAAACCAAGCTGTGTACTGAACAACAGTGCCCCAGCTGGACTGGCAGGCTCGCCCCTTTTTAAAGACCTCGTGGATTATATGCTGATTTCTTTTTCAATAGATAGAACTGAAGTGCCTGGGGCGGGGGTGACTGATTCTCCTAAAGACAGAGTATGAGTTGGGGTCCACAGCGACGTGGGTGTGTGACCCCCTCGGCCTGGTCGTGGACCCCAGGGCAGTCTGTGAGGGAAGGGACCAGCACCCGGAGCAAGGTGTGACATGTCCTCCCGGTGTCTTTCCACGCCCAGGTGCTCTCCCCGCTGTCCGACTCCATCCTGGCAGAGAGGACGGTCACCGTGCTGGACGACAAGGTGTCGGTCACCGAGCTGGCTGTCCAGCTGGTGGCCGGGCTGTCCGTCAGCCTCCACCCCTACGCGGAGCACAGCCGGGCCATCGCCGCCGTGGCCACAGCTCAGGAGCTGCTGCGCGCCCCCAAACAGGTAGGGGCCACACCGGGGGAGGGGCAGGGCGGCAGCCGGCTGCGGCGGGTCCCCTCTGCCGGCATCTCCAGTCCACGCAAGAGCAGGGAGCCCCCACACCGGAGACCAGCCCCCGGTTCCCCCGGAACCTCCTGCCGACCCAAAGCCACCAAGCCTTTCCCCGGCCCGGGCGCCAGGCGGCCCTCCCTGAGCATCTCGGGGTCCTTGCGGGGCTGCGACACCCTGCTGGCCGGAGCCTCCCGCACAGCCCTGCCCCCACTGCCTCCCACCCGGCCAGTTTCTCCCTCCCTCCCTCCGTCTTTTGTGGCACGGGGAGAGACCCAGGGCCTTCATACAGATACAGCCCCTGTCCTTTTTTCAGTTTTTTACTTTGAGACAGGTTGCCTCAAATCACCCAGTTGCCCAGACTGGGCTTGAACCTGTGATCTTCCTGCCTCAGCCTCCCTAATTGCTGGGATTACAGGCAGGCACTGCCACGCCCGGTCCGACACCCTTCAGAGGGGCCCTTGGAGGCTGGAGGCGGGGTGGGGAGCAGGACCCACACACAGCTGACCCAGACACCCTGCACAGTGTGACCAATGTGCAGAACTTTCTGGTTCCCATTGGCCATAAGGAAGACATATGGGAATCCCCAGCACTCCAGGAGGCTGAGGCAGGAGGACTGCAGATTCCAACCCAGGCTGGACAACTTAGTGATTCAGAGACAGACAGACCGTGCCTCAAAATAAAAACTTAAACAAAGGCCGGGGATGGAGCTCAGGGTGAAGGGCACAGGTTTGATCCCTAGGAGTGAAAAAAAGAAAAATCCGCCAGCATGAAGACCTCATGCTGAGGAGCTGGAGGCCCCAAGCTCTGTCTCCTGCACCCTAGTGCCCTGTGCCAAGGCCTCAGAGAGGGGCAAAGCGCCTGGTGCCTGAGGCATAAGCAGCGCTGACTGTGCCCCGGGGCACTGACCGCAGTGGGCAGTGCAGTGCTGGCCGCTGCTGCTTGCTCTGGAGGCCGACGGTCACCGTGCTCGTCACCAGCCACACGAGGCACAGGAGCGGGTGTGCCACGGGCAGATGCCCGTCCAACCTGGCTTCCCCGGCCAGACGCAATGGGAGAGGAGCCCGGCCTGGGTGTGGGGCTGGTTCCGCCGGTGCTAGTCGATGCAGTCCTGGGGCAGAGCAGAAGGACAGTCCCTGATCTGCCATAGCAAGAGCGTGACTGTTTCCACGGGCAGGGAGGGAGGACGCCGAGGGGGGTGGACACAGACGGCCAAGGCATGGACAGTGGCACAGCCTGGGTCAGGGCTGCAGGCTGCGGCCCTGCAGAGGACCGTGACGAGCTGTGGCTGAGGTCCTCCTCACCCACAGTGTATCAGGTAGCAAGTGCTGTGTAACAAGTGCCCCCATATGGCAGCTTCAGATGACCCCGAGCCTCAGCGCTTGGGTCAAAGGTGGTTGGCATGTTCCCAGGCCCACTTCTTAGAGTCGGACACTGGAAGGAGCAGGTCAGAGCTCAGCGTGTCCTGGCAGAACCCAGGGCCTTGCTCTGTGAGGCTGTCCCTCCCTGCTGTGGCTGCTGGTGGTGTGCAGCCACTCCCACTCTGCCTCATCCCGCTGCCCTGGACACTGCCTGGGGCTGGCCTGTGTGGTCTCCGCCTTCCTGCCCTCCACCTGCCTTGCAGGGCTCCCGTACCTCCACTGCCCCCAGTGGTGACCTGGGAATTGCCCACTGGACCGAGCGGTCGGGGAGGGGGGGGGGGGACACGGCCCTTGCCCTTACCTCACCACGTTCCAGGCTGTGGGGCGCCAGCAGGTGGCTTTGCCAGCCCCGTGCACCCTGCCTGGCACACACGCTGTGCGCGGCAGCTCCGCTGTCCTGGGGAAAAAAGCTGAGGGTGTTTTCTGGTTTAGAAAATGCAGAGAGAGAGGAGCAGAGCGAGTGGGGACAGACGGCGCTGATGGCTCTGTGCTGAGGTTGGTGACGCCTCACGGGTGATCGGCGCGGCACCTCCAGGCCCGGCTGTCTTCATCGGGGCGTCACCCAGCCCCGGCGTTGGGCGGGCCTTCGCGGGCTCACGCTGGCCGGGGAGCCTGGCCCTGGCGGTGCTGCTCCTCAGAGCCGGGCCAGCGTCTCGCCCGTGGGGAGCGCGGCACGTCCGAGGGGGCGCAGGGGTCCTCCCTCGTCCGGCGCATGGGGACCAGCTTGCGCTCAGCCGCAGCAGGCAGCCGGAGATGCTCTGGAGCCCCGGCCGCGGGAGGGTCCCTGCCTTCGGCTGCCTTTCGGGTTGTTTCACGTTAGCTTCCTTCTCCGCCTGGCGTGAGTGAAGAAAATTCATTCCGGGTGAGAAGTCGGGCGCGAGGCACTGCACGCTGCCGGCCGTGTTCCGTCCCAGCCTCGGAGCGGGGAGGCTCTCCTGACGTCTTCCTCTCTGAGACGTGAACGCGGAAGGACAGGAGCCGACTGCACGCGCCCCGCGCCGGCTCCTTCCCAAAGAGGGCTGCGGGGAGGAGGGAGGGAGGGAGCGCCCGGAGCCAGGGCGGGTCCCACTGCAGAGCCGGACTCCCGGGACTCAGCCTTCGAGCGGAGGGGACAAGGGCAGGAGCCGGCCTGGCGCAGCCTCGGCCTCTGTCTTGGCCTCGGCTTCCCCAGCAGAGCCCGAGGCAAGGACTCAAGTGGGGCGTAGCTCACGCCGCAGGGGCGGGGAGGGAGGGCGGGAGGGGTGGCACCGGCTCAGCCGCGGCTGGGGTCGGGCGCTCAGCCTGGCCTCCTGGGGGCCTGGGAGCCAGACCGGACAAGGCGGGAGGGCCCGGCGCACTGAGGAGCAAGGACAGGGACCAGCGCGGCGCCCCTCCTCGTCCAGCATGGGAGGTTGCTGCCAGAGGGGCCTCCGGCAGGGAGAAAAGTGTGGACCTGCGTGTGCCAGATATGCAGGAACTGACAGAAAACTCTACCCTACTGTGGTTTAGATCAGGGACGACCCCAAAACCCTCGTGGGCTCAGAGGCAGGCTTTCGGACAGTGACTGCATCATGGGGATGTACAGCCCACGTCCTGACAGGAGGCGGGGTCTGGCCGGAGGAGGCGTGGCCTGGAGGGTCTCCCTCCCTGGCGCCTTCCTCTCTCTGTGCTTCCTGTCCACCATGCCCTAAGCAGCTCCCCTCTGCAGGGCCCTTGAGCCACGCCTTCCTGCCTCAGAGCCCACAGCCATGGACCAAAACAAACCTCTCCTCCCTAAGTCGTGGGCAGCTGGTGTCCGGTCCCAAGGGAAGAAGGCCACCAAGTCCACCCCCTCCTCAGACTTGGTGAAATGCCCTCTCCCTGGCTCCTCAGAGCACCTGGTGGCAGTACAGGCATCTATTCCAAGCAACAAAGGCTCCCCCAGCAGGCCTAAGCACATAGAAGAACTTCTCAGACCCTCCAGACATTTGCACCTTCAGGTACAGCTCGATCCAGGGGCCCACACTGTATCCCCAGAAGTCTTTCCTTTGCTGGGCATGGTGGCACACGTCTGCAGTCTCAGCACTCAGGAGGCTGAGGCAGAATTGCTGCAAGTTTGAGGCCAGCCTGGACTACAAAGTGAGTTCAAGGCCAGCCTGAACTGCATAGCGAGATGAAGAAGAGGGAGGAGGAGGAGCGGAGGAGGGGAATAATAGGAGGAAGAGGAGGAGGAGCAGAAAGGGTGTTTCCTTTGTTGCTGGCATCTCCTTAATTTCCTTAATTGAGGGCCTCGGAGAGTGACGACCGCTTCCCCCATTCCCTCGTCCATCCTGGTCAACCCCCTGGAGCTCCTGGCAGGCAGCTGCTGGACTTCCGAGTCCTTTCCACCACTCCTCGGATGTGCCTTCCATAGCTGCTGTTTACTTTATAAACAAGCAAAAGTGTTGTTTGCTTTTGAGGCAGGTGCTGGCTTTGTCTGCCAGAACACTAATTCTTCCGCTGACATGTGTAATCTGCTCTTTGAACCATCCCCTGAGTAATTAATTTCAGTCACTGTTTTTCTAGAATTTATCCAGCTCTTTGTACATCTCTCTTTTTCTTCCCGTTCACTCCTACCCGTTCGAGGTGGTCTCTGCTCTTTTTATTTCCTCCTTCTCATCACCTGCTCCCCTTCCACGTTCATTCTCCCTGACTCACGGACGCTGCCCCAGGGAAGGTGAGTCTCCCTCCCTCGGGGACAGAGGACTGAGGCCACGGCATGTGGCTTGCTCCCACGAAGGCTTGAGTGGTTTCCCATGGGCACCGAGTGGGGCCAGCTCCGTGGCCTTCCCGTGCTGCACAAGCAGGGCAGTCGGAAGTGTGTGCCCTCAGCCCCACGATCCTGCCTGAGGTTTACCCCGTAGGGGCACCGCCCCACCCAGGGCGCAGGGTGCGAACCAGCATGGCTGCTCCACTGGCCTCCATGGGTAGGGCTCCTCACCACACCTTGGCCGGGGTCCTGCCCTGGCTCCGCCGCAGGGTTGAAGCCGGGTGTGGGGTGAGGGGCGGGCAGGGTGGGGAGGGCACGGCGGGGTGGCAGGTCGCAGACATCCCGTGCAGGCCGGCTGCTGGGCCCTGGCGATGGCCGCTTGAGGGTCTCAGGCACTGCGGCCAAGAGCAGGGCCCTGGACTGCGGAAGCATTTGCCGGCCTCTCTTTACCAAGGGGCATAACCGCACCTGTCTTGTGAACGAGGGGAAGGGCTGCGGTGCCCTTTGTGAGTGCCCAGTGGGAATCAGCTTTTTCTGCCTATCAGAATTACATGCCACAGGGGCTGGGGATTTAGCTCAGCGGCAAAAGCACCTGCCTGGCAAGCGCAAGGTCACGAGTTTGGTTCCCGGTACCGGAGAAAAACCAAAAAAAAAAAAAAGAATTACATGCCAGGTGTGGCGGCACACACCTATGATCCCAGCACTCCGGACGCTGAGATGGGAGGATCTCTGGGAGTTCAAGGGCAGCCGGGGCTACAAGGCCAGAAAAACAAAAGTAGAATCCCACCTGTGCATGCAAACAGACTGTCCTGCCCCGGCTCCAGCTCTGCCCCGGTGCCGAAGAGCTGCGGCCCACGCGCCTGCCCAGAGAGTCCCAGCTCCGGCCAGGAGGCGGCCCGGAGGCCACAGCTCAGGGCACCGGTGCCTTCCGTGGCTGAGCTCTCCAAGGGCCGTCACTGACCGGGGAGAGGGCAGGGGACACCGGGGCTGACTAGGCCCTGGCCAGGCCTAGAGGGTGGGGGCGGGGGTGCTCTCAGACCTCCTTCTCTGTCCCCACAGTGGGGACTTCATGTGGCCTTGTGGCCCCAGATGTACAGGAGCAGGTGTTTCCAATAATCTCGGCCCTTGCAGCAGCCTGAGCTTCCTGTTTCCTGCTGATGACGTCCACAAAAGCCCCACAGACAGCGTGCTGAGCCGGCCACCAGGGCACACGGCGTGAGACACCCAGCCGCCTTGGCGGAGCCAAGCAGGGGCAGAGTGTGCTCGCTTTTCTGCCTCTGAGCAGAGGGGGAGTTTCCCCTTTGAAGCCCTTGGGTCTCACCACCTCTCCGGGCTGTGTCTCCCTCCGCCTCCCCCAGCCTTTGTCCTCACAGGCCCGGCCCAGGACACTAATCCAAGGGTGACAGGGGCTCTTCCTGGGGACCAGACAGCTGGCTCTCTGTGCATCTGTTTGGTCTCCTGGTAAGAGCTGTGCTAGAGCTGCTCCAAGCTCAGGGGACTTTTCTGACCTTACCATACAACCAGCTTCCTTCCTCAGATGCGTGGCCCACTGGGCCCGATTTGGGGTCCTGCTCATTCCTTTGGGCCCCCCTCCCGCAGGGGTTCTGGGGAGCTCTCCATCGGGCTGGCCCTAACCGCCTCTCTCCCTGTAGGAAGCCGTGGTCAGCACCTGGCTGCAGTTCAGCGATGGCTCGGTGACCCCTCTGGACATCTACGACAGCAAGGACTTCTCCCTGGCCACCACCTCCCTCGACGAGGCTGTTGTGTCCGTGCCCCAGTCGCGCTCTCCCTGGTGGCCCATCGTGGTGGCCGAGGGGGAAGGCCAGGGCCCCCTGGTCCGCGTGGACATGAGCATCGCCGAGTCCTGCCAGAAATCCAAACGCAAAAGCGTGCTGGCCGTGGGCTTCGGCAACGTCAGGGTCAAGTTCGGCCAGAGCGATGCGGACGCCAGCCCTACGGGGGGCACCGGGGGAGAGGAGGAGGAGGAGATCAAGAACCACGCCAGTGACCGCAGGCAGAAGGGCCAGGAGGGGCGGCTGCAGAGTGGCCCGGCGGGGGAGCGTGAGGAAGGGGCCCTGCGCAGGGCCACGACCACGGCCAAGGCGCTGCTGGACAACAGGGTGGTGAAGAGCAGCCGGCTGAACGGGCCACGGCTGCCGGGGGAGGAGCCGCTGCAGAGCATCCCCGTGGACTTCACCAACTTCCCCGCGCACGTGGACCTCCCGAGGGCCGGGGCCGGGCTGCAGGACAGCGACCCGGTGCCCACGGCGCGCGGCCTCAGTGACCTGGAGATCGGCATGTACGCCCTGCTGGGGGTCTTCTGCCTGGCCATCCTCGTCTTCCTCATCAACTGCGCTACCTTTGCGCTGAAGTTCAGGCAGAAGCAGGTGCCCCTGGAGGGCCAGGCCTCCGTGAGCCACTCGCACGACTGGGTGTGGCTGGGCAACGAGGCGGAGCTGCTGGAGGGCGCAGGGGACCCCACACCAGCGCAGGACGAGCACACGACTGTCATAGACCACGGCCCAGGGGGCTGCAAGGAGAGTGACCAGCTGCTCATCAGCAGGGGCAGTGCCCAGCAGCAGGTGCTCGGCCAGGTGCACTGGGCAGTGGAGGGGGGAGGCCGGCAGGAGCCACCGCACTCACCCACCTCCCGGAGGAAGAGGGTCAAGTTCGCCACCTTCCCTGCTGTCCCACCCGACGGCAGCTGCGCTACAGCCAACCCCATCCTGGGGGGCCCTTAAGTGGGTGTGTGGAGGCCTGGGCATGAGGGCCCCAAAGAACTCCGAAACTATCTGGAAAAAGTCCAGGGAAGGAGTGGTGCCTCCGTGGGCCCAGGGTAGAGTGCGTCCTGAGCATCGCAGGTTTGGAAGCCGGGAGGGACGCTCTGGTGTGGAGGTTTTCAGCGGTGATGGCGGACACCCTCCCACGCCTCCTCCTAGACCGCGGTGGGGCACAGCGGAAACACTGCACCTCACTCAGCAGAACTAGGAAGGTTATTTTATGAATCAACACATAATACAGCTACCAAAAATTATTTGTTAAAAGAACACACAAAAAAGACAAAGAGACAAAGAATGACCTGTTTATGTTTCTTATAAAGGAGGAAAGCGTGGACACAGGGACTGCCTGGAGACATTTTCCATTTCAGTCCAGTGTCCACTCCGTGAGGATGGCCTTGGACTGTGGAGCTGGGAGAAGCTCCAGGATGCCGGCGGGCTCTTGGGACAGACCTGGAAAGAAGTTACGTTCTCACCGGATAATCGCTTCTCTTCCCATTCCCCTTGCTGTAACCTCGGCTTCCGTTTGGTTTACATTTAATGTTTATTTCTGAGGACCAAGTGGTATATTTTTCCTAAATGAGATTAAATTATATTCTATTCATTAGATGATTTTTTTAAGAAACAAGGCTGATGAAGTCGCGATCTCAATGCTTTTCTATGTCTTGCCAGCTTTTTTGGTATTTGGTGGTTTTTTACAAGTAGTGGCAGAGACCCCATCCCCCACCCCCACAAGGTCAAGGTCAAGGTCAAGGTTGGTGGGAAGGGAGCTGCTTGGAGCTGCCCTTTAGGACGCTGCAGGCAGGGCTTGGTCAGCTCCAAGAATGACAGTGCCCAAGAGCAAGCCCTCAGCCTGGTCAAAGGTGTTTTGGGGGGGCTTAGGCAGACTTGCTTACTTGGTGGGGCAGTGTTCCCCCAAAACGGGGAGACAGAGTCATTTGTGAGCGGCACCACCATGAAGCAGCTTGTTGCAGAGCGCTCCCAGCCGACATGCAGCGTGTGGAAGGAGAGGGGGCGGGGCGCAGGGACCCCCTCCCCGTCCCCGGAGCCTGGCAGGAGCTGGCAGAGACACCAGCGGTGGTCACTGTTTTTATTGTTTTTATTACTAAAATCAGTGGCTAAGGAAGGGCCCTCAAGCCTTGTCATCTTGGTTGGACCTTTTTAACACGGATTTGTAGCCCCTGCTCCAGACGCAAAGGAGATATTCATTTCCACCTGTGATGCCCCGTGTCATTAAACTGCTTCCTGGCTTGGCGCTGTGTCGGGGCGTCTCTTCCTTCCTCGGCCCCGGCCCGCCCCAACTCACAGCTGCTGCAGGAGTGACCCCGGGCCGGGGGACGGTGGCGTTTGTCCCCATTGTGCCCCAGGTGTTTGCTGACTCAGAGTAGCTCCGCAGGAGGGCCCTGGGCCGTGTCCCCATGGCCGTCTGTAGGAACGCCCAGGTCACAGCAGGCCTTGGTCCGGGGTGCTGACTCTGCCGGCCCAAGCGGGGCTCCAGGGCTGCCACCACAGCACTTGCAGGGTTGCACTGTTGCTGGTCGGGGAAGAAGGAAGCCTGGGCCCAGCAGGATCCGTCCTGGGGAAGGGCGGCCGTCTCCGTGATGGGTTTATCACTGCTGTGCCCTCAGCATTCGGGGGAGAGTGGCTGCCGCTGACGGGAGTGAGGAGCAGCTTTCGGCAGAAGGTGAGTGTTTGGTTTGGTTCTCTAACAGTTTTATCGAGACATCCTTCATAACACCGACCCACGGACATCAGGCATGAGGGCACACACCTGTGATCCCAGCACTCCAGGGGGCTGAGGCAGGAGGATGGCCAGTGTGAGTTCTGCCTAGATAACGCAGTCTCAAAATAAAAAAAAATTTTAAAGGGCTATGGAAGGCCCTGGGTTCATTTCCCAGTACTGAAAAAATAAATTAATAAAAGACCCTTGGACACTATCCGGTTCAGTGCTTTTGGGTCTGTTCACAGAGCTGTGTACCTCTGGTCACACTGATCGTAGGGCGTTTTCATGATCCCAGGGAGAAACCCTGCACTTATCCTCGGTCCCTTCCCGCCCTCACTGCCCCAAGCAGCGGCTCCTTCTCCTGTCTGATGCCTCTGCCTGAAAGGGCTGCCGCCCGTACCATTTGGAGCCAGGCTCCGGAACGCGACCATAACCCTCTGACCCCCAGGGGTGGGCTGCACACACTGTGACTATGTTTTCTGTCCCCCAGCTGTGTCTGTGTGGCTCACAGGAGACCTGTGGGCGGGTGTGGCTCTGCCCTGGCCTGCAGGACTCAACACATTCCTGGAGAGATGATGCTCCAGGTGAGGGGACGAGAGGCCCGGAGGGATCTCACGATGGCCGTTTCCCACGCCAAGTAAATACAAGGTGTGATCAAAACACAGAGAATGTTTAAGTTTTTTAAATTTATCACAGTAAAAGACACGTCGTCCTGAGTCCTTCTCCAAGTCCTCCCCCTTGCTGCAAACACACTGTCCCATCATGCTCGCCAGTCCCGGAAGCCGCTCTGAAGTCCTCTTTCGTGAGGGTCTTTACGAGATGGGATCAAAACTACAGTGAATGCTGCTGTCAAGTGCCACCCAGCGAAAGCCAGGCTCGTCCAGCACTGCAGTCGGTCCCTACCTGAATATTCACCCACTCTGGCACTGTCTGCTTTCTGTTCTTCCCAAAGTCAAAATGATCACAAAAAGGAAACGTTTTGAATCAGTTCAGGACACTGAGGCAGCCCGGACAGCACAGCTTAGGACACTGAGGGAAGAGGACTCCAGAGCTGCTGCAGAAAGCGGCAAGGATGATGGGATGATGGGATGAGTGTCTCTTAAGCAAAGGGGAGGATTTTGAAGGGGACTCGGCGTGCTGTGTCTTTTTCTGTAATAATTTTTTAAAAATTTAAGTACCTACCTTATCTTTCAATCAAGCCAAGCGTACAGGTCTGAACCTTCCCCACCCCAGACAGCAAGCAACAGAGGACCTTCGGTGGTGCCCGGCGCCCCCGGGGGTCCACTGAGCAGCTCTGAGACCCCGAGACCCAAGGCAGCTGGAGACTCACACCTGCCACTTCGAGTAGAGGACAGGGTCTGTGTCAGGACGGCCACCTGGGATCGCTGGCCACCCTGCCCTCGGGCGATGCTGACCCTTGTGGACACTTTCAGTCACACTGGGGCTTCATGAAAACTTCCTGTTATGGTTGATACACTGTGTCAACTTGGGGAGTCTAGAGCTTTGGCTAAGTGACTCAGCAGTTCTGCATCTTGGGGTGAAAAGGACACGCCCTTACCCTTCTGGGATGTTGTTTATTGTGTTAATTTGAGAAGTTTAGAAGGTTAACTATGCAACCCAGAAGGGGTCCAGGGTGCTTACTTTGTATTCATCCTGAGCCTGTGCAAGAGGCAGGCATGCAGAGGGTGTGGGTGTAGAGGATAACCCCCACCTCCCCAGAGCGGGTAGACTGCATAAAAAAAGGAAGTGAGGAGGGACTGGCTGCTGGTTCTTCAGAGGAGCTCCGGTCTTCGCCTTCAGCTTGGTCGTCTCCTGGCTTCTGGTGCAGACTGCTGGGCTTCCTTCCGTCTGGACTCTTCAGCCTTCTGGTGTAGGCTCTCCGGCCTTCATCGTATATTCTTCAGCATTCCGTCGCAGACCCATCAGCCTTTCTATGTGGACTTGCACGGACACTGCAGCGAGCTCCAGGCCCGGGGCTGGGCTCTTCAATCTCCAGCGTGCAGACACACCCTCTGCACGCTCCCTCATCCAACTCTGTAGCTGACCGTTGTAAGCCAAACTTGTAATCCCTTGTACATTTGTTTATCTTGTGTTATATCTGTTCCTCTAGTAAACCCTGACTGATACACTTCCCCTTCGTTGCAATCTTGAGACTTGACTGGGGCCTTCCTCAAATTCCCCAACATCAAGGAGACCGTGAGAGGGAAATTTTGGATCAACTCAAGACCTGAAGGGAGGAGGGACAGTGCAACCGCAAACACCCGCCTGGGTCAGCGTTGTCACTCTGCAGTGACTGACCCTGCTCTGGGGAGATGCCGCCCCCATTACAGAGGAGGACCCAGGTCAGAGTGTCCGCTTCAAAGTCACGTTCTGAAGGTCATGAAGAGCACCCTCTCTACAGCACGGCTGGCCTGCAGCAGAACCGATTCACAAGCCCAGGCAGGGGTTTCCCCAGACTGTGGCCCGGTTCCCTGGGAAACACCAGCCCTGTGCGTACTTGCTTGTTAAGAGGGAATGCAGTCTCTGGGCATGCTGGTCCACACCTGCAACCCAATCGCTCCTGAGGCTGAGGCAGGAGGATCACTGTGAATCCAAGGCCAGCCTGGGCTGCATAGTAAGACCTTGTCTCGAAAAAACAAGTAGAAAAAAAAATATGTAGAATGCAGCTGACGCAAGAATGATTCACATTCATTTCACAAGACACAGAACATGAAGGAAAGTGAGACAAATGAAGACTCTTCGCATTTCTAGAGATGACCACACTCGCCTCTGCTGGCACTGGGAGGCCGACGCACAAAGCTGTGTTTTCTCCCGCACTGAAATCAAGGGGAGAACAGGGGTTTTTCAGCATAATGCCACGGGGAAGTCCCACGGTCCCCACAGGAGGCAACAGGGCCTCTGAGCCGAGCCAAGGGAGGCTGGGAGCTGTGGCAGGAGCGGGCTGCAGGCTGAGGCCGCCCCGTCCACAGCAGCCCTGGCCCCACCAGGCTGCAGCCCCCACAGCAGGCACCGGGGATACCGTGCACCGCCCGCTGGCCTGTCCTCGCCTGCTGGCCTGTCCTCCATTAGCACAAGGCAAGGGCCGCTACGTCCCAGAATGACAGAAGGCTGCATTGGGTGCCAGGGGCATTGGAAGGCAGCGGGCACGGCGGCGAGTCCCAGCCCTGCCACTTCTGTCCCCTTGCACCTGCACCCCGCCCAGCAGAGTCCCCCAGGCTGACCAGGAAGCACCAGCCCAGAGTGGGCGCCGGTCACCGGGTGGATGGACGGAATCACGAGCAGGACTGTGGGGCGGCAAGGACAGCAAGCCTGGAGAGGTGAGCCTCGGGCCAGCAAGACCGCTCGGGGAGGGGGACGGCCTCACAGCCCTGACACCGCGCTCCTGCGGGGAGAACATGAGATTCCAGTTCCAAGAACCAGGCAATTATGGCATCTTTTCGATTTATTTCCTACCGACCAGAATGTTCTGTCCAGAAAGCCTTTCTTTCTCCTGTCAAAGAGGGCATTTGGGTGAAAAGAAATTACCAGACTGTGCAATTTCATTAATTTTTTTAAAATCCAGGTTGCTTCAGAGGTCACGATTTTCATTTTCTCCCATCCACGCTGTCTTCCAAGGAGTAAATGTGAAAGGAAGGCTGGGGCCACTTAGATCTGTGGGGACACGGGAGAGGGCTGGTGTCCCTTTGGGCCCAGAGAGAGAGGACGCTGCCCAAGAGACAGCGGGGAAAGCCTGGACGCAGACAGGATGGCTGCGGCAGACAGAGGACTGCGTATGTCCATCCAGTCACCCAAAAAGCGCTCACAGGCACAAGCAGTGGAGATGCAAGGAGGGCAGAGGTAGAGGTGTGGCGGAGTCGGAGTGGTGTGGTGAGCCTGCCCAGCATCCTGCGAGGAGGTGCCGAGTATTGCAAGAGCCCCACTGCTCGGGATGGGGTGGGGGGAGCCGGGCCTCACAGCCCAGGGCAACCAGAGCACCACGCAGTGGAGGTGGGCAGAGGACACAGCCTGGAGGGCACCGTGTCCACAGGAGGGGGACTGGACAGTTCCTCACAGGGACCACCGTCCCTGGCCACTGGGAGATGTATAGTTCAAAAAAATCCCAGTGCCAAGAACAGAAACACTGCGGTCGCCTGGCTGTCTTGCGGGTCCCTCACCGGGAAGACCAGCGGCTATTTGCGAGGATGCACAGCAGCTCTCCTGGCAGGTGGGGGCCGCGGAGTGGGGACCGGGCCTCAGGACTGTACTGCAGCGTTAGGACCTGAGCCGCAGCTGTCCAGCCCAGCTGCGCCCAGATTCTCGATTCACACAGCCTGGACAGTCAGCATCTCGCACCTTCTCACAGCAGTGTCAAGCATGCGTCCTCGTGTGCGGGGCAGAGTCGGGTTCCCCGTCCCCCGGCCCCGCTGCAGCCTGGGCACCAGCTCACAGGGTCTGACTGTGAGTGCCACGCTGCTTCTCACCAGGGGCATCACCCTGGCAGCCAGAAGTGAGCCATAAAGGAGAACATTCGTGCCATCCAAGCTGGAAAATGC